CTTGTCTTAGCAGGTGGATTTGAAGATGAAGTGGTATGTATTATACAACACAATATGTTATAAAATAGTTTTCTTTTTAATTCAAAGAGTATATGCAGGTGGTGTGTGGTGAAATAATCCACAATATATGATTTATGGTTATTGTTAAAGCTGAACTCAAAGCAAATGTCTAAATGCACAGATTTTTAAAATTTTTTTTTACCTGCTAAAGGATTTGAATTTCTGCCCATCCAGTCCTGAGATTTACGCAGCACAGCAGGGTGGAGAACTCCACTTTCTGTGCTATAGTTAAGAAATACATGCACCCAGCCTTCTGACTGGACAGTGAAAGAACAGCAGAAGCTTGATGGGTTTATATTTTTGCTTACTCTTCTTCACACCCGATTGTCTCCCAGTGCTGTGCCTCCCTCTGCTGTATAGGGCACCACAAAAGGCTGATATTAAGTCAAATTCAACTACTTGATTTTTTTAAAAATATTGTAATGATTTCACTATGAATGCATAATTGCATGAATGTGTATATTAAAGGAGAACTATGAGGTGAGTGCTTTTCACTCATCCTCATAGTTCTAGCCGACCTGTGACAATGAAACTGTCACAGGTCGGCTCAGTAGATCGGGAAGTGAGCGAACACATACCGGCGCTCTCTCACTTCTCGATCCTGTCACGGAGAGCCGTGACAGGGCAGGGACTGGATTCCCCCCTCCCCGCTCCGATCCTCCAGCGCTGACTAGCGGAACGGAGGGGGAGGGGGCGGGTACAGCTGGCTCTGCCTCTAGATAGGCACAGCCAGCTGTCACGCAGCTGGGCAGATCCAGACATAATTGTCGGGATCCCTTACAGCTGTGGCGTCTCAGTATACCGCGAGCTGCAGCGTATGAAAACGACGAACGCACTACACATGTTTGGTATCGCCGCGCACGCCGGAGTGAGAGCAATAATTCTAGGGCCAGTATTTTGAGGTATCTAAATTGATGACCTGTGGGGGCTTTTAAAGCATCTTCTATGGACTTTTTGGATTACTGCAGTTTTTTGCTGTTTCACGGACGCATGCAATTTGTAAACTCATCTTTTATATTTCATTTAAAAAATGGGTATTTTGTTGCGTTTTGGGTCATTTAATTAAATTTGTCACATAATGTTGAGGTTTAATAAGGAGTTGCGCTAATATTGCGCAACATAAAAATTTGCAACTACCACCATTTTATTCTATAGGGTCTTGGCATTCAGAAAATATATAATGTTGGGGGGTTTTAAGTAATTTTCAGGCCTAAAATGTGGAATATAACATGGGTACAAAAAATGAAAAAAAGGCCTCAGTCATGAAGGGGTTAAAGGGTTATTAAACCCCCAGCGTGTTTTTGCATATATCTACTGCTAGCAAGCAGTAGATATATGCAAAAACTTTTTTTTTTTTAAACAACTTTTCAAACAGGTTTAAACTCACTTGTGTCTTCGCTGCGCGCTCCCGTCCGAACATCTGAAAAGTCTCAGGCAGTCGCAAAGGATCTTGGGGCAGGCACATGCGCACTTCGGATGTTCGGCCAGGAGACAAGGAGAGACGCAAGGTAAGTCTATGGAGCAGCGTGCACCCGCACAGACTCTGTGGGACATCAGAGAAGAGGAGTCAGCGCTGGTGCCGGTCTCCGATCATCTGAAAAATACACTAAAGAAGATGATCGGATCAAGAGGCATGATTTTAGATAAGTCCTTACACTAACATTAGGGGAGGGGGGAATATCCTTTAATGCCACACTAAATTATTCGGTAAAGAGCTCCTTTTAAGTGCCGTAAATCATAGCAGCCTATCAGAATTTATTTTGCTCAAGTCAGACGTCGAATCAACACTTGGGCATTGGCCATCCTAAATTGCTAATAAGTAGTTGGAAGAATCGATTAAAGCAGAACTACAACCTCTTATCTCTTACAGTCAAGGAAGGTGCCATCTCTTAGCCTCTTTTTTAATTGCAGTTGCCATTGTCCTGTACGTGCGATCCGCTATGACACCGGCCATATGAGGACATGAAAGTTTGGTTGAGAGCTGAAATAAGCACTCTGATGACCTTGACAGTTGGCATGCCTTAAAAGTAACAGCTTTTGGGGACCATAAAATTGGTGGGTAAAGTTCCTCTTTCTAAAGACATTTTCTTTTTCTCAGGACCGGGGTGATGAGTTTACATACACCGGAAGTGGAGGTCGAGATCTTTCTGGAAACAAAAGGATTGGAGAACATTCATTTGATCAGACGTTGACTCACATGAACAGGTTAGTTCCTTCCATGAAATATAAATATGCACAGATTTAGTGGATGATGTTCGGAATCCAAGTGTACTTGATATTTTTTATGACTAAAACTATTTATAATGGAGAAGTCATGTTAACATGCAAAACTGGTCTTTTTGGTCTAATGTGTTCCCTACCGTATATTGTTTATTTGTGGTCTGTGGTTAAGGAGTTTTGTATTGATAGAAGTCACTGACTGTACCGTAACTCAAAGCCTACGATTTGTCACATAGTTTTGCAGTTGAAAACTAGAATCCTTATTTTATCCCTCTATTACAGATAAACTGTTGCAGTGCCAGTAATTATTATTGATATTATAGTCAACTTAATTGTTTCATATATTTTTAATTATATAAATGTAAGGTGTCCTATGCAAACACCCTGGTCCGAGTATAAAGTGATGATGTGTTTCACATTTATCAGCTGCCTTTCCCTTAAGGCTAGTGTGCCTACCGGTACTTGGATGCCCCCAGTACTATAATCTCTGCCCGTGGATGTTGCTACAGACCCATAAAGTAAACGCAGCGTAGGGCAGTGGAAGGTGAGTTCAGTAGTAGAAGAGGAATTCAGGTCAGGGCCGGCAGCAGACGAGTATCTAGTAAATGTAGCAAAAGGTCGGGGCAGGTAGCAGACAAAGGGGGATCCAGAAAACGTAGCCAAGGGTCAAGAGCGGTATCGGACAAGCAAGAATTCAGACACAGGTGCAGACTTGATCAGCTGGAAACATATGATAAGCACTGAGGAATAGGCTAATGATGCTTAAATAGAGCGCCACCAGCGACACGGCCAATCCCAAAGCTGGAGGTGTGTGAACAGATTCATTAGGTCAAAGCTGATTAGACTAGTGCTGCAGCCAGCAAAACACTCGCAGAGACAGCATTAATTAGCCCACACCTGACAAGAAGCCTGGGATGAGTGCAGCGGCAACAAGCAACCACCAGAAGGAGCTGGGAGGTCGTTAAAGGAGTAGGGTCACTAGACATGCTCCTAACACTCATATGGTGCAAGCAGTAACTGAGTCCTGTGTGTATGGTTTGTCAGCACTTTGGTAAAGACTTGGTTATTTGATAACATTTTGTGGCTCGGTTATGTTTGTTACAAATAAATATATCCTGCATGCAAATTTATGGGTCTGTTTATTATTTATTTTGTGGCTACTGGCTCTGAATCCTGGCTGTTGCTGACAGCTAGGGTGCCCACTGAAGATGAGGAACCAAAGTGGTTGCCTGTCATGTGATTACAATGTCAGCTGTGACATGGTGATTCCATGCAGGCTGGAGGCTTCGTTTAAAACAATTGGAGTCTTCGGCTTGCATATGAACACTGCCATCCAGACCTGCATATGAACACTGCCATCTTTTTTAATACATTTTTGTGTATTTGTCAGTCTATAAACAAAAAACATTGGAAGGTTTTTTTCTTAAAACTGTGTGCCAAATAAAAGCCCTTTATGTCCTTAAATATACAAAAATATTAAACTATGCAAATAAGTCATTGGGTTATTGTCCAAAAAACAGATGCATGCTGACCTTGTTAAATTTGGCCTGGGCATCCAGGTATCGATGATCTCCAGTCATGAAAGAGTTAGTGGTTTTCCGGCAGTTTTATTGAAAGCTGCCCATTCACTGCATGATTCTTGTAGGAGAATCGCGGGAAATCCCGCGATCGTACAAGAATCGTGCAGTGTGAATGAAGGCGTGCGACCGTTTCTACTGTACGGTCGCATGTCTAAGGAGCATGCTAGAAAACCAACCGAAAATCGTACGATTTTCGGCTGGTTTGAATGATGCTTGGGAGACAAATGCCGAACGGGCCGGTGTGTGCACACCGCACACCGGTGATGATCGCAAGTGCGATCTGCCTGTCCATGATGGGCAGATCGTACGTTTTTTTAATTACTTTACAACCATCGCAAGACTAAGGTCTTGCGATGGTTGTAAAGTGTATGGATGGATAGATAGAGCACCAGGCATATCCACAGCTTAGATGAAGGGACGTGGTACAGGGTGAGGGTTATTATTTCCAACATTTATTCATGTTAAAATATTAACAAGGACCAGAGATTGGGAAATTTCAGAATCTCATGCTTCAGTTACTACAAGGAGTAAAGACCTGGGGTTGGATCTTAATATTGTCAGATGAGTTTGGTCTGTTCATAATAATACATGGCCATTATGTACTAATGTATGCCATGTTTAAAAGTTTCTTTCTATGCTGAAATATACTGTTATAAAGGCCCCCCCAGGTATTGAATGTATGGAAAAACCCCTGTGGGCCTCCAGGCTGTCCTCTGGCTCTGATGCAGTTCCACTTGGACTGAATCAAATCAGAACCACCTTTACAACCCTGAAAAGGATCTCAAAGTGGAGTAGGTCCTGTGCAGTAACAACAATGATAGGTACCGAGGACACAGACTGTCACTGATTCCATTACAGATATTGAATATTTAGCTAGTAATTAAGATGCTGAACTTTGCTGGTATACCAGAAGGCGCTCTTCAACATATTCAGTCCTAGCTGTGATGAAATGGTTTTGTGATCAACACTCCAAATACTTTAGTGGAAGTAAGAGGAAAAGTAGTGTCATCACATGGTACTCACCCTGCTGATTGTTTACCTACAGCCTTAGAGATGCAGCTTAATGCCTACTGTATATTCACACATGCCATACTGCCTACATTTATTTAGGAAACATAGACTATAGCACACATGGAGGATGGGTCAACACTTCAGACACTGGAATACCCCTCTGTGAATATTGTGCAAATTGTGTTTGCAAAAGCACATTGCAGGCCTGTCTTTTTTGACAGAAATGGATGGGGATCTGTCATGCACACACCAATGCGTGTCCAAGAATCAGTCATCAAGCTGGGTCTCACAAGATGCAGCTATGTGTGTGCTTCAGCCCAGAAATACAAAGCAAAAGTTGTTTTCTTCCTTGTATTTTTTTAGTACAATATTAGGACGCAGTATAATATAACGTTACTCCATCACTGAAATCCTGTAACTATGGAGCTTGCAGCCAAAGGAAGCAGAAGATACCAATGGGTTTGTTTTCTAATAGAGTTTGCCCACTGAGGTTTTTGGTTTGTGATGGTCTGATGTTGTGGGGTATTCCTTTCTATATGCACTACTTGTTATGTCACTGTGGTGATTCATTTTCCTTCAAATATCAGAACATGAAATGTAGCATTTATTGCTTGCAAGGTTACAAGTATGTACCTATTATCTGTAAATCCCATTATTTAATCTGATCAGCATACCTGAAATCTTTGTATTGTCTTTGTATTATTTTAGATAGGTTAGAAAGGATATAATAAAACCATATAGATCACTTAAATGGATGTCCTCCCTTTTTTCTTTTCTTTTACATACTCTTATGAATTAATTGGTAATTAAATATAATGTATATGTTACCCTTCATTTTAAAATTAATAAATGCTACATCTTTTTTTGTTCTTGGTGGCAAGAGCTTTCCATAAATATTTACATAAGCAGTCTTAAACAATGTGTATAATTGTGCACCTGTAAGGCTTTAATGGAGCTGTCCTCAGCGCCATCTGGTGGCCGTAATGCAGTATTACATGAGATTCTTTTTTGCCTTACAGAACACATGGCACTGCCATTTCTTTATAAATAGACCCCTATGTATTATTGTATCTAAAATGGCCCAATCTAAGAGCCCTGATGGATAGTAATAAAAGTACAAATATATGCACACACTCACACCCTCTGATTTTTTCTAATATTTATTGCAAAGAAAACGTTATACTTTAACTCTACCAATGACATGCTTACACTATGATTGTTACGTGATTGATTGAGGCGTTCATATTGCACAGTGTTTATTGTGCTCTCATCTTCTTGCATCCCCTTCTAGGGCCCTGGCCCTAAATTGTGATGCGGCCCTGAATGATAAAGATGGAGCCGAGTCTAAGAATTGGAGAGCCGGAAAGCCTGTCCGCGTAGTCCGAAGCTCCAAGGGGCGTAGAATCAGCAAATATGCCCCCGAAGATGGCAACAGATATGATGGCATTTATAAGGTCTTCCACCCCACGAGAATGGCTGCTTAAATGTCTCTGCTGAAAAAGTTCCCCGAATTAATTTCACCTGAAATGTTTCTGTTATTTTCTTCTATATAAATGTCCGATTTTGTGAGAAGGAATTTTTTATATGAGCTGTACATGAGTAAACCTATTATAATAGCAGTTTAGGAATGTAACAACCAATCAGATTGTTGCTTGCTTTTATATAATGCATTGCAGGTAGTAGGTTGTTTATGGTTATCGGAATATACTGCGTTGAGTTAGAAATGCTTCCCTCTCCAACGGTAAAAGAGAACCATATGGTAATCTTTTTATCCCATAGTTCTCTTTAGGGTCACGGGAGGACATATACTAACCTCCTTTTGTGACCCGAAACTCAGTATATATATATTGCCCCATATATACAGAGAGTGCCGCAACCGGGACGGATCCTGACCATACTGTCGAGATCCATCCAGCTGTCTGACAGCGGGCTCTGTCTATCTAGAGGCAGAGCCAGCTGTGCCCGCCCAGGGGGAGGGGGGAATCCTTGCCGGGAGCGGTGACTGACTCTACAGGGAGATGATCGGGACGTGAGCGAGCAACAGTAGAGCCGACGTGTGACAGTTTCAATGTCGCACGTCGGCTCGAACTATGAGGATGAGTGTAAATCACTCACCTCATAGTTCTCCTTTTAAGTAAATGAAGGCAAAGATCTTTGCATAAGCTTATTTAAGTATGGAATTTCTCGGGGCTTGCAACTTTTTTATTTAGAAATCCATTTGTTGTAAAAAACACTATGAATACTGCCTGGCTTTGTTATGTAGGTGGTAAAATACTGGCCTGAAATAGGCAAGTGTGGGTTCCTAGTATGGCGATATCTATTGCGGAGGGATGACGTAGAGCCTGCTCCATGGACTGCGGAAGGCATAGAACGCTCAAAGAAACTTGGCTTGACATTACAGGTGAGGACAGGGGCACAGTGTGCATTATTCTTTTGTTTTAATTGACAAGTCCAATTCAGAGTAACAGGTCCCAGCAGTGTAATTCCCCCTGCAGCTTCATTTCATTCACATGTTTGTTTTTTTTGTCATTTAAAAATGGTTTTGTGTGAAGTTGAACTAAATTCCACTATACTTACCTCCCATCCATTGATGCGAGCACCTTCTTCCAGGTTCGGTGCTTTTTGACCCTTTTGATTGGCTGTCCTGGGATGGCATAACATGGGGGTTAATTCTTCCTGGCGCCAAGACATGCTGAGCATGTACACTGAATTGCCCACGTGCAGCTCAGTGTACATTCAGAACAAACGTTGCTGGCAGGCTGGTAAGACCTTTTTATTGCAGAAGAGACAGAGAGAGTCTCAAATGCAATAAAAGCCTGCCTGGCAGAGATATTTGACTCAAAAGCTTTAGTTTACTCAACCCTTTCATTGCCAAGGACGCAAGGCTTACATTGGAACAGAACTGCTTGCAGCTGGCCAGTTCCATAAGCCTTATGCCCTCTGCATTCCCTTATAAGATCAGGGTCGCTTCAGCAGATCACAGCCATTTATAACAAAATATGATCAGTACTGAGCACTTCTGTGTGCAACGTTAGTGAGTGCCGGGCGGCAGAAGAGAAGATCAACGACTCAATCTCTCATATTTTTTTTTTCTCACAAGAGAACCATCCGTGGTCTGCTTAGAGCTATGAGATATTTCCCCAAAGTATAGAGCTTGCGCCCGGGTTAAGCTTCTCTCCTGATCCACAGGTAATCATTCCACGTAGGATTACGTGTGGACAGGTGAGGCTACCCTATCGATTAACATGAATGGGCGCATGGGCCTGATCTCTATGGACACACCTTGGGATTCCTGTTGCTAGAATCTCCACACACCTGTGTGCATAGGGCCTTAATGTGGGGAGCAGGGCCCGGCAGCAATAGGGTTAAGCTGAAGCACGAATTAAATACAAAAGCCTGTAATTTTTTTACCGATTTAGTGAGTAGATACTTGCTAATAATTATGATTGAAATACATTGTAAAATATTTGTTTTGGCATGAAATATAGTTTCCAGAGGGATATTTGGAAGCCATGGCTAACAAAGAGAAAAAAGTCAAGAAACCACCTACAAAATCTGAGCCCAGCAGTCCAGCCAGTTCATCCAATCAGAGTTCCAGGAGCCAGAGCAAGCCAAGTACCCCAGAGCACAGCCATGGCACTCGCAGCAACTCCAAATATAGCGGCACCCAAAGCAATGGAAACCAGAAAAGGCAAATCGAAGAGGGTATGTTTTCAGAAAATATTCATGTCCTCCTCATAATCTGCAATATATATTTTAGGGTTTCATGACTATGTCTTGTAGTATAACATGACATCATTGTAATTCATGAATGTGTTCAATCCATCTCTTTCACTTACTAGTATGGAGATCTGCAGGTCTGTTGTGTGGAATGGTTTTCCCCAGTCTGAGTTCTCTGGCTGACGGGAGATGTAGTAAATGAATACTTGTAAAAATGGCTTTAGAAACTTGCTCAGAAGAGCTGTGTGCAGGTCAGGAATGGTTTTCCCATCTTGGCTCACATTTCCTAAAGTGAGGGATAAAAGGGTCACATATTTTGAGACGGAATGATGTAGAGATGTGGGGTATCATCTATGGTATGAAGGAGACTAAGGTCATTCTCTTAACATTGGTAGGTTCTTCTGTTCCTTTTTGCCATTTTAGCTAACCTTCTGTGACTGAGCAGTTTAAGGGAGTTCTAAAGTCCCAGCACATATGATCCTGTTATAACATCAGCATTGTGATAAGAACACTTATTAGAGTTGTTTTTGAAATTGCAATCAAAGGTCACTTTTAAAAAAATAAATCGTTTTTATGTAGCGAGTGGTGCCTTCTGTCTTCCCATCACTTTCATCAACTTCCTGTGCTTTCCTTGTTGCTTGATGCGATGCAATCTCAATTTCTCAAGACTACATCCCATCATGCACTGCTTCCAGCAAACAATGATAATGTTACATTGTTCAGATGTTGAGTTGTGGGGGCGTGGCCTGGACATGGAGCTGTGAAGACACGCTTTAGGGGAGCTCTGTGACCACCAAGCTGGATCTACGTTTTAGCTGACTTTATCTCCACAATTTACCCATGCCCAAGGAGCCGAAGGCTTGCGGTACTCACGGTGACCCCCGCTCTGCCTCGATCTACGACTTTTTTGCCCGCAAATCACCGGGTCCGACTCCCGCGGCGGCCTCCAAGATGGCGCTCACACGCTCCTCCACGGCCGGTCTCCAGTCGGGTAAGAAGCAGACCCGTACCACACTGCCTTTGACTGCTGACACAGGGGAGTCCCACGATCCTGACAGCCCCCTGTCCTTGGCCCTGCTCCCGGACACGCCGCGGCTAGAGTCCCCGCCCGGCCCCTCGGCGATCCCACATGTGCCGGGCCTGGTCATTCAGGACGGGGGAGGCCTGAGCGGCTTGCTGCCACATCTACCCACTAAGAGAGACCTAGATAACATGGCTTCCTCCATTGTTGCGGCCCTGACGAAGGAAATCCATGATCTTACCCACCGCATCACGGAGGTGGATACCCGGGTCACGTCAGTGGAGTCCGTCACATCCTCACTATCGACCAGAATGGACGCCCTGGAGGCAGATGCGAGAGTGACGACCACCCGCCTGCTATCCATGCACCTGCGCCTAGACGACTCCGAAAACCGGAACCGCAGAAACAACCTGCGCCTACGAGGCATACCGGAGGCTACGGCTGGAGTCCACCTTAGAGACACCGTGACAGCGATTCTCAATGCCCTCCTGGGAAAGCCCCATGATGCGGCCCTGGAGCTTGACCGGGTCCATAGGGTTAACGGGGCCCGTCCTCCCACACCCTCTGCTCCAAGAGATGTTCTCTGCAGGGTTCATTTTTTCGCCATAAAGGAGGAAATCGTCAGACAGGCCTGGCGGCATGGCCCCTCCGATTTTGACGGTGCCACCATCAAAATAATGCCGGATCTCTCTCGCCATACTCTCCGCATGAGACGCACAGTCCGTCCCCTGCTGGACCTTATTCGCTCCGCATCAGCCACGTATCGCTGGGGACACCCGTTCCACCTCATCGTACGCCGAGATGACGCCTCCTTCCAGCTACATTCACCTGACCAGCTCCCGGCACTGTTTCGTTTCCTGGATGTGGACCCTGTAGACGTCCCCAACTGGCTAGAGTTCCCATTAGACAAAGCAGGACCTGTTGGCTTGGCACCTCTTGTCACTCTCGTGGTTTGGCCACTGTAATGCCGTCAGATGTTGAGTTGTAGTTCAGATGGCAGGCTCTGAGTTGTGACACAAGGAAGTGCATATTCACAGGCCTCAGTGAAATTGTCAGTGCATTGAGGAAGTACATCTCAAAGCAATTAAGTAAGTTTACAAACTTCTACATCAGTGATTCTTAACCTTCCTGAGGCCGGGACCCCTTGGTAACATTTGCCAAGTTGTGGTGACCCCCAAAGGTAAAATTTAGGGATGACGTGGCTGCTACAGCGACATCTGGAGGCATGGCAGGAGAACTGACACTGCTGCGCTAGGAGTGAGCTGAGGAGGACTCTTTCCCGATCTCTGCAGCTGCGGACCGGGAAAATGGAATGCATACATATTGCACCCGCCCTCTGCTGCTGTCAATCACTAGAAGGGGAACTGATGGAGAACTTCAGGTCCCCCTCTGCTGATTGGCAGCATCAGAGGGCGGGTGCAATAGCTAGTTTGCTATTGGCTTTTGCAAAGTGAAATAGCCAATAGGAATCTAGCTATGCATTCCTATGGTGGGTTTTTTTTTTTCTGACTTACGGCGGCCTCCGATTTAAAAAAAAAAAACACAGAGCAGAGAAAGGTCCCGACCTTTCCGGGAGAAAGTGTTTCTCTCCCGGCGGCCGAGAGCCACTAGGCGACCCCTGGCAAATCGTCATTCGACCCCCGAGGGGGTCCCGACCCACAGGTTGAGAACCACTGCTCTAGATGGATGTGATTATTAGGAGTGGGATAGAACTTATGGTAATTTAATATAGAAATACATATTTGTAGTTTTTGACTGTAGATCCCTCTTTATTAAACTAAATACTGAACTAATAGAGAAAAGAGTAGTAAATCATTGTGAGGGAGGGTTACAAAGACTCACACACAGTAAGGCTCTGTGTTAAGAATGTGTGGCTATGAGTTGTTTGTTTCTATATTGTGTAAACCTAAAACCTGTGTGTAACATTGTATAACAATGTAATATTGTATCACTTCGAGCACCTCCTCATCCTGGTCAGCTCTACGTTTCAGAATGGCTCACAGCTAGGTCTGACCAGTAGAGGGCACCCTTTACCAATGTGCCCTAGGTCCTCCTGCTTCAGGCGATGGTGCTTTCATGATTTTATTGGACATTTTGTTTTTTATCGCTTACCATTACAGATGACACAAATGAGGACACCTTGCCATCCAAGTCTGTGAAGCTGTCAGAGGAGGAGGGGGAAGAGGAGAAAGCTGGGGAAGCATTTCAACTCACTGAACAGCAGGATTGGCTTATTAAAGAGGACTCTCAAAACCAGAAGCTGTGGGATGAGGTTCTGTCTTCTATTAAGGAGGGCCCTGTAAGTGTGACTGATATGTTATTAAGTGTCATTAAGATGCATGATTTTGTTTATACCAGGATATACATTCCCACATATCACTGTTCTGTTTTTTTTAATTTTTTTATTTAACCACTTGCTGACTGGGGTTTTAAACCCCCTTCCTGGCCAGGCTCTCTATTCAGCGCTGCGGTACTTTGATATTTATTTCGTCATGCAACGCTGTACTCAAATTCATTTTGGATTATTTTTTGGGGACACATAGAGCTTTCTTCCAGGCATATCCCTTGTGGTGGGTGCTCTAGTGACTGCGGGTGGCGCCGCTTCAGATCCAAATAGTAAAGTATGTCACCAGCACACCATGGCTCAATCTTCAACCAGTGATCATTTTATTGATGCACACACATCTTGTCAGCATGCCTGATGAAGGGACCCTGAGTGGCTCCGAAATGTTGCAGTGTGAAGTGATGTGTGTGCATCAATAAAATAACTGCTTGAAGATTCAACCATGCTGTGCTGGTGACATACTTTACTATGTCGTATAAATAGACACCAAACATGTCAAGCTTTAAAATTGCGTGCGCCCGCAAAATCGCAGAAAACTACCATACCCAAAATTGGCCATATGCGACACTTTAAAAGCTTTTACCGCTCATCAGTTTAGTGTTATCAGTGATTGATGGGCCTACAATTATTGCGGATGGCAAGTGGTTAAGTCTAGTTTAGAAATTAAAGTAATGGTCTTGACTGGTATGATTACATTAGTTGTGTGCAGAATTCTCTGAATATTCCCAGAATTGTTATTTTCCAGTAAAGCTACTGTATGTATATCTGAACACAACATGGCAGCTCACTCCATAGTATACAAAGTGCTCTTAAATTTGACTTGGCGTGGACCTCTTGCAATCCTTTTGTACAGTAGAACTCTGGAAGACTGGTAAGAACAGCAGTAGGTACCAATCGGATGTGCTGCAGTGCTAGTAAGGAACGTAGTAAGGATGAGTGGGGGAAAAAAGGATGAGCTCACCTGCTTCTTTCACTATACGTGGAGGTGACCAAGCTGTGTAGCTAAACTGCAGTAGAGAAAAGTCAGGTCACTGACCATACTGGTGGCTGGACTGTCTAGATGTCAGGAATGGTTGGGTAGGTGTGCATACCCTTAGCCAAGGAAAACATCTACTATCTACACTGAGTGACCAGATTATTATGACCACCTGACGTTTGTAGGCAAATTAGCGATAATTAGCTATAATTTCGCGCTGAAGTTGCTAGAGGGCCAGACCATTATAAATAGGGAAGCAGGTTGTTTACCACAACAGTAGAAGTGAAGATATGGGCAAACAACGCGATTTAACAGCCTTTGAACGTGGGATGATTGTTGGCGCTCGGAGCCATGGAGCGAGTATCAGCAAAACAGCAGAATTCGTTAAATGTCCAAGAGCAGCTGTTGTTAAAGTGTTTAAAGACTGGACTGTCAGCCGAAACTCTGGGTCTGAACGTGCAAATTGTGGCCGTCAGCGACTAGTCAATGTTAGGGCAGAACGGAGGGTGGCAAGGCTGGTACAAGCCAACAGAAGGGCAACAGTGCAGTGTCAGATTCCTCGCATCACCTTTCAACATCTCGTGGAGTCACGAGGCGGCCCAACAAAGTAATTTCGTGGAGTTATCTCGTGGCCCAACGAAGTACTGATGGGGTGGTCATAATAATCTGGCCACTCAGTGTATGTATTAGAAGTGTGTGTTTAGCTGTTTGCCTGGCATTCAGCTTTTAACCCCCAGAACGTGGACACAAGGGACATACACACACACACACACACACACACACACTATACCTAGCTTGGTTGTTTTAAAATTATTATGTCTCATAATTTTTTTTTATTTTTTTTCTAGAACTTTCTGAAAAAAGTTGAGGAAACATTTATGTGTGTGTGCTGCCAGGAGTTAGTTTACCAGCCAGTTACAACAGCATGCCTCCACAATGTGTGCAAAGTGAGTAAACCCTTTTCATATTTGCATGTATCCCAATCACTTTTGCTTTATGCTAGTCATCTGTGCAGGTGTATATAAATGGGATCTCAGTATATATTGTATAGGGAAATGATTACAGATTAAGGGACTCATTCTAGCACTGAAAGTTTAGTCTAGGATGAAGTCAAAGCACCCAGCATGGTATTGGCTACCTTAACCATTTTTACAGGGCCCTTATCCCCATCATACAAAATGCAGCCATCATAATATTGCCCAATGATCTCTACTTTGCAATAAGGAGAAACATCAGGGCAGAAAAAGGGATCATGTCCTCCCCATAGTGCAAAACTCAAATGGAGATTGAGGACTTGTTCCAGTGATAATAGCTGGCAATATTGGATGGGGAACAAGAGACACTCGCCCTTATGGGCCAGTGATGTCATCCACCCAGGTAAGCTCCAACACCTTAAGTAGGGTGATCTCCTGTTCTGGGGAGGTGGTGAGGGAGTATGGATGAGTAGGCCAACTTTAGCAGGTGACTGTGTTTTTAAATATAGAGCTTCCAGTGATGAATAGGACTGTGAAGTAACTGTCTTTGAATAAAATGTACTTTTTGTTGTTGTTTCAGAGCTGTTTGCAACGTTCCTTCCGAGCCGAGGTCTACACCTGTCCAGCATGTCGTTTTGACCTTGGAAAGACTTACAATATGGTTCCTAACAAGGTCCTGCAAACACTGCTCGACCAGTTTTTTCCTGGCTACACCAAAGGACGGTGATTGGTTGTGCTCCCACAGCATTTCCTTTTTGACTTTTTATAAATAAAGACAGATTCAATAAATCACAAAAAAAAAAAGAAAAAAAAAAAGAATATTGGACCAACAGAGGCAGCGTGGAATGGAAACACTTTCTTCAAATCAGGGGGGAATGTTCTTCCCTCATGTCTCCATGTCTTCTGTTTTTGACTGTTGCAACATCCGAGGTAGTCTGTCTCTTAAGACCATGGATTTAGACACCACCGTCACATGCTGGCTACCACACCTACAGTCTGGCTTGTATTAACTACCTCAGAACAGAGGAAGAGAATACATGGGGACAACGAGAGCAAGTAATTGATCACCTGAAGTTCAGCAACGCACAGCCTCCTGGTTGTTCAGTCATTCCTGGTCCATGACATTTTTCTGCTCCAGTGCCAAGAGGGTCCACAGTGTGTTGTAGGAAAAAGGCTTGTAGACTCCTTTCAGAAAGGAAGGGCTCAACGTACACTGACAGCACTTAATACAAAGAGTTGTGTTAGATTACAGAACAGTAAACTCAAGTTTTTATTCTTTCCTTTTTTACTATCTTCCTTTCCCCCTTTTGTTCTGTTGCAGAGCTTATTTGTAGTTTATTACTGTGAGCTTCTCTCCGCTTTATATTTTGTACCTTATGCCAGCTGACTACTAATATTACTAATGAGAACAATATGTATGCATTGTTGCAACATTAGTGTAATGTAATCTGTGTTTTTTGCTTTAGTCCCCTTTTTTCTTTTTTGCTCTTAGAGATAATCAATACACTCTAGCAATGTGATTTTACATTTGTTGTCTTTCCAATACAGAAAGCCACTTTTTTTTTTTATTAGTTGACATTTTGTATGCTTCAGTAGAGCCTTGTATCAGTGGCAGTACAATCTGCAAAGCATTGCAAATGGTGACAGTTATAGCTTGGAGAGGGTCTAAACTAGCTTCCTATTGTGATCTCAAATTTTATACACAGTATATCCCCTAAAATATACCTTATTAAATATTTTATGATTCTGAAATGTTGCTTATGTTTATTTGCTGGTCTATGCTGTGTACCTGTAGAAACATAACCCTTCTTTTTTCTAGAGAAATGTTTTTTATACGATGAAGTTTTTTTTAATTTTTTTTTTAATGAAAATATTTTGTGTATTTGCTCAGTGAGGTTTTGTCTGATAATTGGTATAAAGTGGCTTGTTTATCTCTGGTGGTCTTTCTTAATTGGTAGGTGGAGTGACATAATGAGACTGTAAATAAATGGTTTAGGGCAATAGGGAGAACCTAGAGCTAGAGCTGAAAGTCTAATCGGATGCATGTCCAGTGCACAATTCACTTTGTGTAGTAGGAGATGGTTTTCATTGGCTTTAGCACCTTTATGCCTGGAAGCCTGTGATATTTTTGCATCAGTATTTTTTTTTTGCACTATATAGGAGATCCAAGGCTTTATTTTTCCCCTAATTATGGCTTCATTGCATAATGAACACTATACTGGAACATGAAAGCAGATTGTGACATTTATAAAACGAGTGAAAAGTTTGAACTGCTGATCTGTATAATTGTTCCAGGTCAGTGACTCACTAGATCACCCTACAGTGTGCATTCATTTTATTGATAGTTGTCATCACAACAAGTGCTTTTGGGGCCGCGTAGGGTCCCCTTCATTAAGCTCAAAAATGACATTATTTTTGAGCCTAATGAAGGGGACCCTACACGGCCCTGAAAGCACTTGTTGTGATGACAACTATCAATAAAATGATTTTGCACTGAAGTGGAATTTTCATGCTGGTGTGCTGATGACATCTATGTTTATATCTGTATTCTGAGCAGTGCCTTCCACGGTCATTTCATGTACCTGCTTGTTTTGAGATATCCGGTCAGGGGTGCAGCAAGGTAGGGCTGCAGCTAACAATTTTCAGAATCGATTAGTTGCACAATTTTTTCAACTAAGTGATTGGTTGCATTAAAAAAATCTCTCTCTCCCCATCCCATGTCTAATCACCTGAAGGCAGCAGCATATCACCCATGGTCTAAGACTACAAGATTTTGTGTCCTGTAATGTACTGCAAAAAAAAAAAAAAGGATTTTGCTGGCACGATACAAATCCTTTTTACTGTAAATAAAACCATATGCATTTTATTTAGGGATGCACTGATACCATTTTTCCAGACCGAGTACTGATATTTTTCCTCAAGTACTCGCCAATACCAATTACTTATACCCTTTTTGTTTTTTCCTTTCCCATGTGACAGTTTTTCTAAAGCAATACAGACTAATGATTTTAGGACAGTGGTGGAGCACCAGGGCATGGTCGTGGCTGCAACCCTGGTAGTTCTGCCACTGACTCCAAGCTGCAGAGGGACAACAAATCCCAGCAATGCAGAATAATATGAATCTACATAATCTGTGTTGCTCACCAGGGCTGTGTGGACGAGTACAGGTCTCCCTCATGGCAGTAAGGGTCTCACCAGGACTGCGGGGGCAGGTGCGATCTCCCCATGGCTGTGCCCGGGTTTCCCCAGTAGGTGAAGGAGAAGATATTTGGCTAGACCAGCGCTGTAAGTTCCCCAGCAAGCATGGGACCTTACGGCAGCCAAAGTAATTAACATTTTTTAAAGGGCCGCTATTGGGGCATATTCATGAGTACAAGTACTCATAAAAATGCCCAGTATTGGCACTGGTGCATCCCTAATTTTATTCTATAATTTGCCCCTTTTTAAAATTATAGTAAAATTTATGTTTCTGGTACACAAAGCAAATAATTTTTGTATTCGACACAAAACATATTTTCATGCGACACAAAATGTGATTAAAAAATGTAGAACAAAATATATTAATGGTAAAAAATAAAGACATTTTAATAAATCCGCACAACAATAATACCTACTGCGAGGAGGGAGTTAATTCCAGAATGTAGGTGAACGGTTATGTTCTTCCATCCAACGTACATAGGACCATATGCACCCTAAAGGAATTCAAAAGCCCATGCTGGAGCCTGCACACAGATTGGATTATGGGGGCCTAGTCCTGGACATGGAGCTGGCCAGGGTGTTCCTTCCACAGGAAAAACTGCTGTCTCTTTATGCTCAATGTTAAAGTCCAGGAGCAGGCTGACCATTCACATTAGCATAAAGGTTCTTGGCAATATGGCATTGGAGTCAGAGAAGTGCTTCCGATGCCTTGGAAGTTGCTAACTTTCAGGCTTGGAGCAGATCCTCGGCTCCCAAACAACATCTTGGAGCACAGGGAGATTCAGTTGTCTCTGTATTGCACGAATCCACAGTTGCAGAGTCTTCCTACCAGGATCCAGTCAGGCAAAGTCACAGCTGTAGCATACATCAACCATCAGGGAGGCAGAAGAAGCCATGCCGCAAAGAAAAGCAGAACTAATTGTGGCTTGGGCAGAAGAACTTCATGTTCTAGCCCTATACACCATACTCATTCAAAGCATGGAAAATTGGCAGGTGTGTTGAGAGACACCATCCGATGCTGTGGTCATGCAAAAATGTCCTCGGCCATAAAGGAGTCACGAGCGGAAAAAGTTTAAGAAGACCTGGTCTAGAGGAAGTCCAGACATTCTTATAAAGCATGGTCAGATACTCCCTGGATCAATGATCTTCCATGGTATTTCTATATCATGCAGCAGATATGTTTTGTGCAGTTAGAAATACATCCAGCCCCCTTTTTTTTAAGAAATCTACCGAGTTGGCCAGACATGCTCTTGCAAAATACTATTTCTACAGCTCTTATTGTAAAGAACCCTTTCTATATGCTACAATTATATATAGCTTTCTCCAGTCCTAAAAAATGCTGTTCTGTATTTGTGATGATCTTCACAAGTTTACTGTAGAATTGACATATTTATAGGAACTGATTATATTACCTCTGAATCGCCTCTTCTCAGGGGGAGGATAAACTCAGTTCAGCTAATGTTTTTTCAAAGCAGAGGTCCATGGTTATTCATGCATGCATAGTAAAAACATGGTGTTCTAATATAATCTGGGGGTGGTATTTACTTACCTAATGTACAAGTAGAACAGTACCAACAGATGTTTTGTAATATTATGAAAGGTCAAACCTCCCAGCTTGGAATATTTATACAGGTGATGATGTAATTTGTTATGTATTTTATACAGTTGCACAACTACCTCCTCACCATCAGTATGCTCTTCTTAAAAGGATCCTGTTTGATTCCCCTTATCACACAAAAAAACACTTAATTGTTAAGGAGACCCTGTCACCTCACCATTCATTTCAACCACAATCTTCCTATAAGGTTGTATGTACATTTAACATATATTCTTTATTCTCTAGTGAGGGAAAAGGGAAGCCATTAACTGATGGTTCTACTGCCACCTACAGGATGCCATATAACCCAACATTTAATGATTTGTGTCCCTCAATAAACTCCCAAGAAAAGGATTTTTATAGGGAGTACAAAAATCTTATTTTATGCATGTTTTACCTGTAAAATCCCTTGGATGTGATGTCAGTAGACTCAATGCTATTACTCAAGTGACATTTTATAGTATTCCCCTTCACTCCTCCCCTGGCAGATATTTGTGGGTGGTCTGAAGGAATACTTTCCTTCCTTTCCTATACAGGGACTTGTAAGGTGTGGTTCTACATATCACATAACCCCAGAGGAATGAGCAGGCACAAAAAAAAAAAAAAAAAAAAACACCCCTGGGGTTTTTTGCTCATCGCAGCTCAACTGCACACAGGACACAAAACCAGCAGCAGGTAACACATAGGAAGATGGAGGGGAGACACAGCAAGGAACAACAACAACAGGCTGGCTGACTCTATATCCCGGTCACCATGACCGGCAATGTGCCTTCCTTTAAAAAACAATATATTCTGGAGCAATACCCAGGAAATCTCTAAGATGCATTATAGCACCCAGGGGCATAACTAGAAATCACAGGACCCCATAGCAAAATTGTCATTTTCCGGCTGCAGTGAGGGGAAAAAAAAAAACCTCTGAAATAAAATAAAGGGTTTAGCAAACTGATTGCAGAAGACGATCAAACCCAAAAATTGGAGCGACAAATGCACAAGTAAAATTTAGTGCCCCAAACGCACAATAAAAAAAAAGACCTTTTTTTGTAAAATATAAAAGATGAAATTACAAGTAAATAGATACCCAACATGTGCAGGTTAAAAATTGCATGCATCCGTGAAACTGACAAAATTC